CCGCGCCAGCGGCACAGCCTTACCTGGGGAGGCCGAGGCAGGGTTCACGGCTTCGGGCTGGTGCAGCTGCCGAACTTGCACATTTGGAAGCGTCCTGGATATGAAAACAGTACACTCGTATGAGCAGCGTTTTTAGACTACGTTACTACACGTACAGCGTGCGCTGCAGATGAGGGTGCCCGGGGCTGGGAGCAGAAGAGGGAATGAACCAAACTGACATTGCAGAGAGGACAGAAAAAAGCAGTGGGAGTGCAGACTGGCCCTTGGAAGGATTTTTCTGCTACCAAGTGAAAAAACAGTGAGCTAGGAAAGCAAAGCTTCAGTCCCATAACACATTTTGGGAATGGGAAAACGGAAAAAAGTTTTTCACTTCTGAAGAGAGCTTAGAATATATCAGATTCACAGACCACATGTCTCCCCTTCCTCTGCAGCTCACCCAAACAAGTTTTCTGAATGTCAAATCATATATACACCCATTTGTAGTATTCAAGGGGCTTGTTATGTGCCCCGTGTGCTGTCCAGCCCTAGCGGGTTGCATATGACACTTGTACACTTTGTTCCTCGAAACAGACACTTTGTCCCCATTGGGGTCTATAAATTACCTTTGTCTGTGCACTTGATCAATCATAACAGATAGCTCTGCCCAGATTCTGAGTACACCTTTCAGTCAGCTCTCTTACTAAGTTTCTTTTCCTAGGCAATCCTGTTAGAACTTTTTCCCCATCAAGAATACATTGTTTGTTTGCAATACTTCCTTTAAAAATACCCTTGAGTTATCATTAATCAGAACTACGTGTCAAAATTGGTAGCACTTCTTTCAGAATTCCTAAAAGCTTATTTCTGCTGCACGCTGCGCAGCAGACCATACACTTTGCTTTTAAACAGCTCCATTGCATTTCCTATAGAATAAACACATGTGGCTTCCCCTCTTCCTTCATGTCTCTAGTGCTTTGTGTTAAGAATCACGTCCTCCTCATTTGTGCTACTCAGTGATTTTTCAGGTGAATAGTCCCGCTGTTCCCTAAAACAGGCAGAAGGCTTGAAGTGGGACTCAAACAATGAATTACTATCTTAATATTTTTCTTACCTGCATGGGAGGAGGAGTTGATTTTGATCTCTCACAACCTTTACCAGAAGCAGAAGCACCTGCCTGAGGGAGGTTTTTGGCTGATGCACACCTGCTGGTGCAGCTTCCATCTGCTTCCTTGGGAGAGAGGTTATGTTTTGAGGACACCGTACCAGCAGCAGAACTGGCACTGCATCTGCCGGTCAAGCTCAGTGGGGTAGTAAAAGCCAAAGGAGGAAAAACATCTGGAAACTCTTCTTCAGAGAAAACTTGGCAGAAAATCTCATTGTTTTGCATCTTCCTGCTTCTATTCGGATTGGAAATCTTGCCAGAAGGCCATTTAGGATACGAAGGTCTCTTCTGCAGAGGTGGCTTATGCAGCGGGATGTGTTGTGAACTACCCGGTTTTTGACTAATCTTTCGTTCCATGTATTGAATAAGTGCAGTATGTTGGATTTGCTTCAGCTCAGTCTTGGAGATACTTGAACTGGAAAGTGCCCTTCCTCGGTTTTCCAGAGTCTTTCTCCCAGCTGCCACTATATCTTGCTCAGTAATTTCATCCCTGTCTTCACTCCACGATACATCCTTATCTTCTAGCTGATTGAGTTTCTCAGGTTCAGAAAAGCACAGTTTCTTTCGCTCCTTTGTTACCCTTTTCCTTCCCCCTATTCGACCCATTTGTGCCCTCTTAATTTCTTCATCTTTACCGAAGTTTTCTACTGATTGTAGATGAGGAGGAGGACAAGGAACAAGTTTAGCATCCTCATTTGCACTGGATAATGAAAAAGATCTAAGATGTTCAATCGAAGGCCTTTTAGAGGGTTTCTGTCTCAGCCTAACAGGCAAACTCATCTGCAAGTCTTTTCTTTTAAAAGAGGTTTCTCTCAGAACTTTTTTTTGAGCTACCTTAAGCTTCTCTCTGTAGTCATTCTTGAAACTCTCATCCACTGATGAACCAGGACTCCCCAGAATGACATCATCAGCCTCATTCAGACCATCAGCAATGCGCTGATGGTTGTGTTTGGTCTTTTGAAGCTGATTACTTTCCCTTTGTAAGTCTACAGATCCTGCGGAGGCAGAGTAGTTGCTTGTTGAAAACTTCCTTGGCGAGCTCAAGTCCTCTTGATGTTGGGCGTGCTTCCTTTGATGCAGGATATTGGTGGTTTCCCCCCCAGAAAGATAGTAAAGAAGGGGCGTTGTCTGCTTGTTTATTTGTTCACTGGCAAGATCATCCTGCAGCTGTCTTCCAAGCTGTTCAGGTTGATATTTCTGAAAGCAAACAAGAGGTAAGGATTTCGCTTCTTCTAGATGCATTGTAAGGTCAGGACTGCTATTATTAGCTTGTTTTTCTTTCTTGAACTCATTTAAAAAATGAGATGTGGCATCTTCCTTTGGTCTGAAAAAAGCAGTTTGGTTAGTATTATCATAACATTGCTTCTTTCCCAGATCCAATCCCCCACAGCGAGGATACTCTGATTCTACGCTTTCCAAGCTATGGGACACCAAGGATTTCTGCATTTTGGCTTGCTGACTGAGGAGTGGTTCCCAAACATCATTCCCAATTTCTCCTTCAGAGTCATAGCGCTGGTATTTATCTGTACAACTGTGTAGCTTCTTTGATGCATTTTTAATCAGAAGAGTATTTTCCATATATTTTACGTCACAGCTGTCCTCAGACACATCCTGATCTAAGTCTGAATGCAGCTCATCATGGACTGGGCACTGAGCACGGAGCAAGGATCCTTTTTGTTGGCGGGGCTCCGACACTGTGCTCTGCGGATCTGATTCTCTGAAATTTGGCTTATATACAATGCAGGGATACTGTTTGTTTTCTTGTATATCATTAACAGGGTTGGTATGTGGTGGATGGTAGGCTTTAGAGTTCATCTCTTCAGGAACTTTATAAGCATGAACTGAATTATAAGCAGAAAGAATTTTAGGGGCACTAGCCATAGAGTCAGTCTTCAAATATTCTTGAAAAATGAATGAAGAAGGTCTGATGAAAACGTGTGGATTGCTTCTTTTTACAGGTTCTTGGGATAGCCTCCGCTCTCCATTTTCCTCTGTCTTTAACCCCTGACTTTTTGATTTAGATAGCCCATTTTTAGAATCAGAAGAGGAAAGGTTCTTGTTTTCCAGAGTCTTTCTCCTCGCTGCCACTATATCTTGCTCAGTAATTTCATCCCTGACTTGACTCCATGATGCATCTTTATCTTCTAGCTGATTGTCCTGCACAGAAGAAGCTGGCTGCACGCTACACTCACTGTGACTTCCAGAGTTACGTCTCCCTGTCGTGTTTTCAAAGTGTCTAGTGACTTTATAGCTGTCGAGTCGCGTGGGAGGAAAAGGTGCAGGAGGCATTGGAGGCGGAGGTGCAGCCAGAGGCAGCGGTCCCTGATTTAAAGTCCCTCGGGTAGGAGTGTCTTCATATCGTTCAGCGAGACCGACGCTGTGAGAGTTGTCATGGCTGCTCAGATCTGGTGACTTGTATGGATGCATGCATCTGAGTTCAGAGTTTGCTGCACTGAGATTATAAATACCTCTCACATACTCTGAGTCCATGTATGGTGCCTGCTCTGGAGGCACACAGCAGTTTTCGCTGTAACAGGACGGCATGTGATACTCTGGAGCATTTGAGCCCCCCGAGAAAGAGCTGTAAGCAGAGTCTGCTTTTCCAGGGAGGTGAGAGAGATGGTCTACACTGCTGATCGACTTCACTGGTGAAAGACGATCACCATTCTCAGGAGAGGTCACTGTCACTGGCTCTAACGGCTCTCCCACTTGCTTGTGATTCCATCTTTCTATCTCATTCCCAGATGAAGCCATGTTTACCAAAAAGCAGCCCTTCCAGCAAACAAAGTCGGATTAAATGTCCACAACAGAGTTGTTGAAAAAGCACATTTTGCTCTATTTATCACTGTGGTCACATTTCAACAGTAGTTAGAGGATCCTAAAAAGAAAAAGAAACACGTGAAAAAAACCATCTTCAGCAGGCGGGTTCTGATTCCCGTCTGGGAGACTCGGTAGTGACGGTCACACCTGCACGCTCAAGGGGAAACTCAAAAACTCGCCGCTGAGAATCTGCCTCTTATTATACTCCAGAGGATGTCAGTATGTTTTATTTACAAATTTTCTAGTCTTTTTCTCACTACAGCTACAATTCCTGTTACAGCTGAGACGATTTTAGTCCCTAACGCAGACAAACTTTATTAATCCGTAAGAGATGGTCCAACGACCCAGGCACAAACTGCACTGAACACTGCAGTTAGACTTGTTACGTCAAGATTTTATGACAGAACTGAGACAAACTAAACTAAAACAACTAAAACCACCACCACCTTATTGAGCATACCCTAAGATTAGAAGACACCCTTTCTTCATGACTGCAAAACATCAAGAGCCAGAATCAAACCAGGTTCTCAGTTTGTCTGGAAATAAACCTGAGAAGCTGAAAACTCCAGCTTAGATGCCACCTAATCCCGGAGGTACTTAAACACCACGTGCTCCTGCCTGTTTTAAGTCTGAAGTTTCAAAGCAACTTAGGACCCTGCTTGCGAACGTGCTCCCAGCCGCAGCAGCGCCTGCCTCTCTTCCAGATGAACGCAGCCCTCATCTAAATAGCACGGGGTTTTGCAACTGCAGGACTGCAATTACATTACACAAAGCGTGCCCCACACCCCGCCAGCACTTCCACATCTCCTTTCAGGAAAAGTCACACAGAAATATGAACGCTTGGACAGCTGGATGGACAAGGGACTGCTACGACAGCTACAGTAACCTGCCACATACTGAACGTGTCAGGCTTGCTGCACACGTATGGCGGCTATCTCAGACTTGCAGGCGTCAGGCAGCCCAGCCAGAGCTCCTGGCATGAGATCAGATTGCCCTTTTCCTCTCCTGGGTGGAAAAGAGGACAGGCACACTGCAGTATTAAAATGAGAGTACGGGGGGGGAAAAAAAAAAAAAAGGCTGCCTCAACTCATAACTAATCCTGATGCTGCTGTGTAAACAAAAAACTTCACATTCCTTGTTTCAAAGACAGTTCCGGTATCATTCATTTTGAGCCAAGGGAAGAGATGGGTAAGAGCCAAAACACAGAAGTTAATATATAAAGGGAATTTGGACTTGTGGGGCACAGTAAATTACTGGGAAATTAAAACAGCATAACACCACACAGAGTAGGAATTGTTGCTGGGCTGTGGGGGGAATTTTAATAAGAAAATGACTCAAGGATGACCCTTAAAGGAGTTCGCTCTACCTTTAGAGATATTAAAAACAGCTGTGAAATTTTAAAAAAACCCCGAACAACAGGGTTACATAGGAACGAAGCATCAATGAGTGATGACAAAATTTCACGTTCTCTTCATCAGGGCATACTGAAGAATTTCAAGGAACACCTTAGAAATCTGGTGAAAGGAAAACCTTAGATTTCCTGAAGACAGAGAGAAAGAAAAGTAGGTGAAAGAGAGAATGATTGCGCTGACACAAAATGCAAAATCAGACTGCACCACTTTCACGGTCATACCAGTGTTATGGACATCATTTAATTGAAAAGCCTGCACCTGGGTTATCGGAAAGACTGTTAGTCCTCACTGGGCTGTGCAAGCTCTGTGGCACAGGATCAAACCCCAAGGGAGCTACTTTCTGTGCAAGAACCAGAAGGCAGATTCCTCTGTCAGTCTTATCTCTGTGTTTTAATCAAAATTTTGTTCCAATGGAATGTCTCCAGCCAACTCTCTGACTGATGACTATTACTTGACTATTGCTATTAATAGACAGAGCCAAGTCTTTGTCTGGGATATGCTGGCACAGCTCCACTGAAGTTAATGGAGCTACTCTGATTTACAGTGAGAATTTGGCTCTAACTGTTCGCAGCTATGTGTAGAATTTAAATTGCAGTTGAGCTTTGGTTTACGTACATCTATGAAAGTACTCTCTTGGCTTCCTAGACCACTGTTTCCCAAGATCTCTTTTTCCCAGTTTTTTCAAAAGGTTGGAAGCTATCTCTTTGTGATTCACAGTGAGGTCAACAACATAATGAAGAATTTATGCTTCAAGATTTTACGATTATACCAGAAATAATGGAAAATATAATGTCAGTATCTTAGAAGATCAAGGTAAGAATATCTAACTTTGAAAAAAAGCAGCAGCAAACAGCGAGTGACTGATCACATGGGGTGCAGGAAGACCTTACAGCTCACAGGACATTCCCTCCTCTGTCTGCTCCTCTTTTGCAGTCTTTCCTGTTGCCTCCCTCTAGCTATCTGCGGCCTTTCCTTCTGGTCAGTGGTGGGAGGACCAGATAAGCAAAAGAACATTTTCCCCATTTGGTGCCCTGTTGTCCCACTCTTGCTACGGTTCTCAGTCTGCGTATCTATTTTAAGCTCAAGTTTGCAATTTCACATCGTTGAAGTGACCAGAAAATGATAAGAACTGAAATAACGTAATACTGTTCTCTAGAATTCTCCCCTAAAATGTAAATAATATGGTAACGAAACACATCTTGAGGAAAATCTATGTTATTTCTTTTTGGGAAAACGTTCCCTAAACCCTGGAAGCAGAAGCATTACTTGTAACGTGTTTAAAGAACATTATCTACCTTTTCACTTGTAACAGAGAAACATGAATTTGCTTAAAACTCAACTGACATTAAAAATGATGCTATTGTTTTCCTAAGCTGGTAGGTAGCCAAGCACCCACATGGGCCACACTGCCTCTGAGCATTAGAAATGTCCTGGCAAGCCTGTAATACTCCACTTTGGAACAATGTGCACATTCCAGCCAAGCTATCGATATGTCATTGTACACCCCTGACAGCAAAAAGAAAAATGTCAAATTAAAAGTTTCAGAACCAAGAACACCGGAAGACACAGGGAATCGTATTAACTGCATGTCTTTTCGGATCCCTAAGGAAGAAACAAAGTCATTAACAACCTATTCAGATACAAACTAGATTGAAAATTCCATCCACTTATTATATTTACTCTAGCCTAGGAAACTCAACACAGACCACAGCCCTCTACTCAAAGCACATGCAAACATATAACATACAGTCCTTTCTCTACAGGTTTGACAAACTAGAAAGACGAAACAAATACAAACCTGGAAGAGAAACAGGGTCTCAACAGGGAAAGTAACTTGTCTAATGCTTCACAGTAGGCTGATGGCCAAGAACAAAACCCTGATGATGCAGGGCGCTGCGTATACTAGGACAGGCTATCCACAGTCTAAGATAATGATGTTTCATGTCTCAAAGGAAGATTTGTTCCACCATTCCACTATAATAATAATAAAACAGAAGGGGGAAAAAAAAAAGAAGTGGCAGAGCAGTGCAAGGAAATTCATATCGTTGTTGCTCATGCTGCACCTTTTCTCAAATCAGGTACGACATTAAAATACATACAGGTACGTACATTAAAATTCCTAGTTCACCTAGACATTTATTAAATACAGTCTGAGTATTCAGCACAGGTTCTAGTCCTGATGTTGTCTATAGCCCCTTGCAGACTGCTGTCAAAATATCAGTCATCATCTTAACTTCTTAATTTTAGGGAAAGGTGTTTTCTATCACACAATCTTGAATTGCTTGCAACTAGTTTAATAGCCAAAGCCTCTCAAGACTCTGGCAAGTTAACTCTGTACGGTGAAAAATAAGTGACTCTGGATTGCAGCCGGTTAACAAGTTACCCTTCCTTTAAGGACAGTTTTCTTCTACTTGTAGCTTGCTCTTGTTCGACCTCATTTAGATTGTATTAGGTGCTGCTAATTAATCCATTAATTCAATGGATTATTCAATGTGCAATGTGTGCCCAAACCAGGTGTTAGTGTGTGTAGCTGAAGTGCAGGTGTTTTCTTTATCATAGCTTTAAATTACTCCCAATCTAGGTAAAACACAGGCCTGGCAGTGAACACAACCATGCACTGCTTCTGCATACTTCTTTATTTCCGTTAAAGTTTACCACTGCAACCTGAGATCAGAGAAGCAAAAACTACCATTTTACTTGATAAATGCAAGCACATTTCAAACTTTCTTTTGAGACTGGATTTATGCCTACAGGTAGCTGAGGAATTATAATTGTGCAATACACATGATCACTTCAGAAAACCAATTAGATGTTCCTACTTTGGAACAGAAGTACTAAGTCTGTGAAAGATATCATCCCAATTCCCATCCAAAAAACAGGGGAATTATCGGAAACATCTGGATGATCCTTACCTTCACTATTAGAAGACTTGTGACTTCAAGTCCTCCTAGAGAGCCCAATGAATCTTGACTTTGGAGTATTGGGCCCTACAGGTAAGATTATCTTAACCCTGAGCAACCTTCTATTGCCTGGGGAACTTCTCAACAGCAAGTTTTACATTCAAGCCTGAGAAGTGAGGTCAGCTGTTCGTATCTGGTAGAATCCAATAGACAAAAAGTATGCCCCAATCCACTGTTTGACAGATAATGTAGCACTTCCAAAAAACCACAATAATCCCAGTAGAAAGGCCAGATGATCTTGGCCAAAGTTCAGAGTTCAAATGCCAATTACCAGTTCTTATATTAAGTTTTAAATTATGCCAACAAAGACGGTCCAAGAGGGACTAAGGCTCATTGACATGGTCTGTCCTATAACTCATCTGGAGAATCAATTCCATAGTTTGATACTCACTGTTTACCTTTACTTCTCCTTTCTGGAAATAAAATAATCACTAGGATTTGGAAACTGTGGTCTCACTTTTAAAGAGATTTTTCCAATGTTTCTGATATATGTAGTTTCACAAAAAAGAGTTCATCTGCAAAAAGAAACATACAAATTGGGAAAGAACTGAAAGAGAATGAATTGGTGTATTTGAAATAGATGTATCTATATTAGGAAAAAAAGCCAGACCTTTCGGAAGTGATGATGCCCACTTTCATTATGGTGGGCTAACACGGAACAGAAAAGTTTGCTTTTAAGGGTCCTTTGCACATAATAGATTTCACTTTCAAAGGTAATCTCACAGAACAGTTTCTCTTGTTCCCTTCTCCCTTTTAAAAAAACTCTTTACTAGACAGAACTGGCAACTCAACGATCAGAGGTCTTGAAAACTTGAAAATAGAAAATTTGAAAGAACTCCACTGTTTTAGCCTAGAGAAATCTTAGTAGGACACTAACACTCTTATACATAAAGGGCTGCTGTAAAGAAAAGGGAGCCAATCTAGTCTCCATGTCTATAGTGGGTAGGACAAGAAATAATGGGCTTAAATTACAACAACAAAGATTAATGTTATCCCCTAAAAAAGACTTCTGGCAGTAAGAGCTGTGAAGCACTAAAGCAGACTAGCTGTTTCTTGACACCAAAACTCTTTATGAATATATAAGGCAAATATGTGACAGGAGTGACACATGCCCAGCTGATCCTACCTCAAGGTAGAAATATGGACCAAACATGACCTCTTGAGTTCTAATCTTGGTCCATTTTCTAGGATTTCAAAGATGCTCCTCCAAAACACTCCAGAGACTAAGGCAACACGCTGTAAACATTTTGGCATGTATAAAACTTCATAGGTCTATTTCTGTAGGATAAAATTGCCCTTGTTAAATAAATGGCTCCATGGAAAAAAAGTAGAAAAAAAATACACCTATTAATCTGCATCAGACTACAATATGCAACTGTTCTCCAAAGAACGTGAATACTAAGTGTGTGAAATGCAAAGCAAACATTGTGACTGACCTACCGATATTATGTCATGTACATGTTTGTGAATGATCTCTTTCTTATCAAGGGGTAAACAATTAATGTAAATAGTAGCCCACATTCTTCAGATTCCAGTAAGTTGCACAGTCTGCAGCACCTGATCCATCTGTTTCACACGCCAAGAGAGTTAATTGCAACCAGAATATCATCTGTGAGAGTCTTGTATTAGCAGGCAGTCTCATTGGCTAACTCGGGGAAGTCTAGAGAGCCTAATACCTTGGGGAAGCTGCGTACAGAGAGTCTGGCATCACAGACCCCTCAGGTAAAGCATTAGTGTGCTGATTCAGCAGCCATATCCATAGGGTTCCCAGATCTCCATCCATGACACCTCACATATGACCCATACATTCTTAGTTAATGTATTGGTTATTTCCAGACATCTCACGTCTCAGGAAGTGCTGCTCCTTTGACCAGATTGTGAAATATCCAGAAATTCCAGACAAATGTCTGAAGTCTTCAAATTCCATCACTTTCACATGATTTAGGAAAGCGTAAGAGAAGGGGAGGGATAGCACATTCAGAAAAATGTACTGTATGGTTGTCTTTGTGCCCAGTATCTCTGGAAGTCACTGTTTATTTCTTAGCTTCCTCTTCTATTAAAAAATATATATATATAGATACAATCCCTTTATTTTTTTTTTTTAAATTTAAAATCAGCAATTTTATTCTCTAGAACTTTCTTTAGGTTTAGGTCTTATCTTAGAGGAAAGTGATATTAGAGAACATACCAGATGACATCTCCTCAAGATGACTGGAAAAGAAACCATAAAATCTGCCAATTATTTTTCTTGCAAAGTTTTCTCAATACTCTAACACACAGATTTCTCATTGAGTGCAGTTTACAAAACTATTGCACTGGTAGCTGTTGAAGGGTTGTCAAGGATGACATATGTCAAAATCTGAGGACAAACTTGCGAGGCTGGCTCATGAAGGCCCTGTAGGGAA